TAAAAAAATCAAGAAAGTGATTTCAGTAATTTTTTATTAACAGAGAATATACAGCATTAATATCCTGTCATTTCATTTTAATGAATTTTAACTTTTTCGATTTTTTGGATGGGTCTTTATATATACAGCCTTTTAGATGTAGGCATTCCAGTATGCCCGACCTCACTTCTGTCTTTTGATAGCCATTCATCTAGCCATGTCAGCTTTTGGATGATTTAAAGATTTTCTAGAGAAAGAGGTGACAGATAGTTAAGTAGGTTTGACTGTAGCGTGCTGTATGATTGCATGTTTTCGGGTTGTAGGGGGAGTATGGATTGGCTGAAGCTGTTGCAGAGATCAAGGAAGGCAATAATCAGATCAAAGTTAGGGACAGGTAAAAACATACATCATGTTAGAATTAGCTGTAAATGATTCTGTATTTGTTTACAACATTACTGGGCTATATAGGAACAACTGTGTACCTGGAAGTTTTCGCCACATTTTAACTTTCGCCTTTTTCGCCCTCGGCAATGAGGGTGAATTTATCATAACAGCGATTATAAGTACACAGCATACCATATATAGCAATCAAACATGAAGGGCAAACTTAACACTCGGTGAACATTGATTTTGTCTGTGTTGGGCGAATATCTAACTGGGTGAATGTTTCGCAGTATACAGTATTACTTGGTATTATCTGTTGGCAAACATATTTTTTCTACAGAATAAAACATTGAAGACAATTAGTAACAGCAACACTTGACTTTTATATATTAAAATTAAAATTTCAGAAAATACAGTTTAATACAAAAAAAAAAATATTATGCAAAAAATTGGAAAACATGGCAATTAGTTATGAAGGAACAGTTTTGAAAAAATTATTAGATTTTTTATTCATAATATTTTTTCGTTGCTAAAATATTTTTAATATTTTTTATTTAAAAGTTAAAATCTCAAACAGTCCTTGAAAAGTTAAGTAAAATAATATTATCAGGATCGGAAGTTGTATTTGGAATTGAAAAAGTCTTCAACAAGAACAGTCTGGTTTGGAATATGAACATTTAAAAAATGTACTGCGGTGGTTTCACAGACAAATTGAGGAGTTGACTCAGTACATCAACAAAGTTGAGATGAAGATAAACGATATGGAGGAGGAGAACGAGGATCTACGATACAGACTTGGCCTTGACCCTCGGGAGCCCCTCGACCTCACACAGTTCAGGAAAAACAAGGCGACCAGGAAAGAGGAGGAGAAAGCTCTCAACTTTATACTTCAGCGGGAGGTAAGTTGGTCGTGGGTTATCTGTTCCTGATTGTAACAATCTGTAGCGGATAAAGAGGTCTCAGGGGCTAAAACTATTCATTTTCACATTGCAGTCAACATTCAATCAATGCAAAGTTGATTTTTCAATACATTTTTCAATACATTTTCCTTACAAAAAGGATTTTTTTGTCGAGCAGACATTACTTAGAAAGTGTCATGTTTATATATCATTGCCAGTTTTCATGTTTAAATGTCTTGTTAAAATATTGAAAATTTTAATTTACCAAAAAATCAAGTGTGTATTTTAATTGAACTCATTTGAGATTCCAGAGAATTTTGGGTAGTTATAGATAGATGCAAAACTCGAATTTATCCATTCATAAGATAACATTTTTTAAAGAAATAATTTAAATCTGTAACCAAAAGCTGGATTGAAATAATTTTAGAACCGAGTAACTTTTTTTTCTTCAGATTAACCTCGAAAAAAAATCATGAAAGCACATCCACAATTCATAATATTAGGATGATTTATTGCTTTCTCTCACAATGTGACATGTACATGTTTATTTTCAGGTGGAAAAACTTGAAGATGAGAGGGTAGTTTTAAAGAAGAAGATCCGAAAGCTTGCTCAGCAAACAGGACAGAGGTATATTTCTCTACCAATCGTGTTTTATATACATCGCGGAAACAGATTCCGAGAAATAAGGGGATGAAAACGTTTCAACCAAATGAAATGCTACTTTGATTCATATTAAGAGATATCAAAAAAAATTATATATGTTGTATGTTGTACTGGGTTTTTTACAGCCTCATCACCTCAGCAAATCTGAAACTAATTTCCAAATTGTGACTATGGATAAATATCTGAATATATATACGAATATATTTTTGTGTCTGTCATAAGCCACCTTGCATCCATTTGCGTACAATTTTAACCTTTTTGAAAATATTCTAGAGTAAAGTCGTAGGTTAAGTTGTTCTGAAGCTTTGACCAACTTTGACCAAAATTGGACCTGATTTCTGGAAATATATTCTGTAACACAAAAGTTAACATAGATGGTCTAACATCATGCATGGTGAGATTATTTCACAATGGAATTATCAAAAAATTTAAGAGATCGGCTTGGAGTGATGAATCTTTTCGTCAGTTATAGGAGAAATATCATTTTCAATATAATAATTAATTTTAGCATATCACTGTTAGGTCATGAAAATTATATATAAGGTAACAAAGGCATGCTGAAAGTACTAGAAATACTGACATGAATTATTTTTTCTCAAACTTCCGTCTTCATATGACTTCAGGCTGTGTAAGAACATAAATCCCCCAATTAAACTAGCCAAGCTTCTCAAGCGTTACTACTTTATCAGCAGATGTTTAGAAATAATTTCGGTTATATCTTCATGCGTCACTTTGTCGCAATTTTCAATCACACAACAATAACCTTGATTTCAAGGATATTTATTTACATTTGTAACAAAGACAGGTGTTTTTTGTTGTTTTGGTTGTCGGGGAATGTTTTGGTATCTATTCATAAAATAAAACTTTCGGGATGGTCAACACTAGTTTTGTTACGCTGTTGCAGAGCCGTAGCTCTGGGTCTGACTGCAGAAGACATGATGGCTGTGGCCGACTTCCAGGAGGAGCTCAAAGCGACGCGCGTCAAAAACGCCGAGGCTACATCCACAGGGGCGCAGATCAGACGGGAGGTTGAGAGCGAGGAGACGCAGTTGAGAGTTAGTTTCTCTACCCGTCATATATTTATACCGAAATGGCAAAATAATGACTACTTAATGTTAAATATTTAATTTTACAATCAATTAAATTCAGACTTTGAGTGTGAATCAAGGTTTAAAAACATATAAAGCAAAAAGTCATTTTAATATTAAAAAAAGGTAAAAAAAAAAAAAGGAAATGCCTGATTGATGTATTACATAAAAATGTAATAATTAACAAACTTATCATTTTGTAATATTAATAAATAAATACAAAAATGCCTGAATCATATCATTCTGGGATGACTCCATGTATATTACAAAGAAGGATTCATTAAATTACTACAGCATCGGGAGGCTGGCGACGAGTTCCGAGAGAACATGCGAGAAATGGACAAACTATACAGAGAGAATGCACAGTTCAAGGCCAAGGTCGAGCAGCTGGAAAACGACAACCGACAGCTGGAAGGCGGGCTCAAGGAAGTCCTGGAGAATCTTCAGAAGTACAAACCAGGTATGTTATCAAGAAATCGTGGCCATAACAAAGACAATGCAGTCAAACTATGCTGTAAACTTCACGAATATGGGCCTTCAGAGTTCTAAAAATTAAGATTTTGTAAACGTTCATATTTTAGTATAGTATGCTAATTTTACGGATTTTCACACCTTAAACACTATGCTAATTTGTAACTGTGCTATTAAATTGAAGTTTCTGTACAGTTTTCTATTTATTTTGAACACAATGCGAATTTATGATTTCACTAACTGAAGTTTCTGTAT